TTTGTTGAGATAGGTCCGATGGATTACATGTTAGTTTATTTTTATTTTCATACCAAATATACCCTAAAATTTATAAATTGTAGTAAATATGTAAATACACATATAATATCTTAATTATAGGATTAATTGTTTTATAAAATTTACTGTCATTTATTATTAATTTGTAGCTGAACTTTTCTCCTCCTTTTTTGTTCTAAAACCCTTTTTAGTGTTTTTCTCAACAATATCATTGTTTTCTTATGAAAATCATATTGATTCTATGAAATTCGTTGGTGTTCATTTACCTATATCACATGTTTTTTTAATATATATCTCTCTATTATTTTTTATATTCTACCTATACCATAAATTAATTGTATTAATTTACCTTTATCACAAGTTTATTTGCCTATTCCATAGGTTTTTGTTCATAATTTACCTATAATATGATTGATTTAATATTTTTCTTAATCTACCTCTATCACATATTAAATGTATTATCTACATGCATCACAAGTACCTATATCACAATATTTTTTTATTGTTGATAAAAATGTAGGCTTATTATATTAACACCTCATAAATTGTTGAATAAACCTCACATACTTAATACACCCCACATTTGCTTTTTTAATTAAAAATTATCTTAATACATCCCACATATTTCCCCATAATACCTTCACACCCCACATTCTTAATATACAACTTACATTTTCTATATGCACCTCATAAATGCCGACTAAAATTTTGACAAAAAATGCCGCCTAGGATTTAAAGCATATGTGGGTTGTTTTCAATTTCACCATTAAAACTCATGTCGTCTGTTTTTAATATTTGATGGTAATTTTGGGTGTTTAATTCTTCATGTAATCCCTATGATCCCTAGAAGATGAATACGAACATAAAAGCTTGAATAACACATCAAAAGCAAGATTAAATAATTATCAATGTCGTCAAAATCACTAAAACAATAAATAATATGAAGTCTTACCTCATGTGAAGCTTCCGAAACATCGATTTTGTGTTTCATTCGTCAAAAATAATTTTTCTCAATCAACATGTTTGTAGTTTCATTGGTTAGTGTTTTGTTCAACAATGGAGGGTCGGATGGGTTTTAATAGTTGAAGAAGATAAATAATACGTTAAAAGTGATTTGGGGTGTATATAGAATTTTTTTACTTTTTTTTAACCTAATATTAAGGCAAAATTGTCATTGCATAGTAGGATAAATAAGTTATTTAATATTAAATTTTAATGTGGGGTACATTCAACATTTTGTGGGGTGCTGTCATATCCCAGTCTCAGCTCCGCCGTATCACGATATTGTCCGCTTTGGGCACTGACCACGCCATCATGGTTTTGTTTCTGAGAACTCATACGAGAACTTTCCAGTGGGTCATCCATCCTGATAATGTTCTCGCCCGAACTCACTTAACTTCGGAGTTTCGATGGAATCCGAAGCCAGTAAGTTCTCAAATGGCCTCGTGCTATATAGATGTGGGCATGTACATATAAGGCACATCACCCCCTCTTCGTTGATCGATGTGGGATGTTACAGGTGCTAATATAAAAAGTATTATATTTGTTTGCTTATGAGTTTAAATATTTTTTTTAATTTAAACTTAACTCTATCCAATTGCACAGTGACATCACAACTCTATAAAAATACTACACGGCTACAAGTTTTTGACTTACTATTGGTAGGTACTACTATTTTGTTCTATATACGTCAATTACATGAAGTTGAATCAGTAATATTTGTTCATTGTTATTTCAGTTTGAATTGTGTTGCGGATGTTGAACGATGTGGATTAGTTTTGTTTTCTTAAAAGGTACTTGTATATTTGAATGATAATTTTCCAAAATTACTTGTCTAAAAAATTATCTAAGAATATAAACTCGAGCATGTTTTTATCAAAACAATTCGAAAACATCATGATAAATACGACTAAAGCTCCTATGGAAGTAAAAGAGTAGTCACTTACAATCAATGTTTACGCTGGCTATTAGTCATATTCATGGCATCATTTTTTTTTTTTTTTTTGAATTTAAAAATTATGTTCTTTTGTTATTATTAGGTTTATTTTCTATAAAATGAATGGAGATTTCATCCAAGTCATTGTAGACCTCAAAGAGGTTTCAAGTTTTTTTTGTTATTAGGGCTTGAAGTCTGATAGTTTGTTTTCACGATTACAGTTAGCTAGGGTTTTTAACTTTTTTAATTTTCCAGATTTTATGTTTTTTTTTTATCATTAATATTAGTTAAAATTTACTTAAGTATCCATGTCATTTAACGAATAAATAAGAGCCCTTGAATGTTATAAAATCTAAAGGGTACAAAGAAATGTAAAAATATTTGTCCATTGATCCTAAATATACATCTTTTTCTAAATTCTTGTCCAAACATCTTGGAATGTCAATAATGATTGAAATATTTTTTGGTTATGGTGCCAGTGATCTATAATCCTCATCTATTAAAATCAGAAATGCTGGGGAATAAAGTGGAAGATAGCAGCAATCAAGCTCCATATGACATAGAAAACGCCTACACAGTGGCTTCGAAGAAAGTGGAAGATAGCAGCAATCAAGCTCCAGATGACAAAGAAAACGCCGACATAGCGACTTCGATGAAAAAGAGCTTGGATGGCTTGTCACCCCTGTCCCCTCACTGTTGTATCTACAAAGTTCCTGAGCGACTACGGCGGGTGAAGAGGCCAGCCTACACACCCCATGTAGTCTCAATAGGCCCACTCCACCATAACAAAGGTAACAAAGATAACAAAGATAACAACGGTAACAAAAATAACAAAGATGACAAAGACTTGTTATACATGGAGGAACACAAACAGAGGTACCTAAAACATTTTCTACTTCGGACCCGGGTAAAATTGGAGGTTTATGTGAAGAAAATAAAGGACCAAGACGAAAGACTGCGTGGTTGTTATGAGGCAAGGGCCAAAGGGTTTAAACGTGAGTTTGTCAATATCATTTTAGTTGATGCCGCCTTCATCATTGAGCTCTTATGAAGGTACTCTTTCGAAGATTTGCGGGATGATAATGACTGGATATTCAAAAAACCATGGATAGTTGCAAAATATAGCGCCTGACTTGATTTTACTTGAAAATCAGCTACCATTTTTCATTCTTGAAGATCTTTTCGCAGATGTCAAATCAAAATGGGAAAAAGATGAGCGGCTGCCTTCAATAATAAAGCTCTCTTACAAGTTCTTCTACGAGACAGTGCGTTTACAGGGGAATGAAGGCCATTTGAAGGATAGTTCAGAAGTAAAACACTTTGTTGATTTGATAAGAACTTTACATCTACCATCTTAAGAGAGCTCACAAACTGGGGATGCACTCAAAAGTACTCTAAATATACCAGGCTGGAGTACATCTTGTAGTCCTAAGGTTAAACGCTTCTGTGATCGTATAAGAAGACCTCTACCATTTAAGAAGTCACAAACGGAAAGGCCACTCGAAAGTACTCCAAATCCAGCATGCACTAAGAAACTACACCAGGCTGGAAGAACTCTAACTACACCATGCGCTAAGAAACTACACCAGGCTGAAGTAAGTTTCAGGTCAGTTCAAGCAAAAATTTGTTTGATATACAATTCAATAATAAAGGTATTCTGGAAATTCCACAAGTAGAAATACACGATTACACGGAGCTTACACTCAGAAATCTCCTTGCATTTGAACAATGCCATTTCAAGGAGAATCACATACGTGATTATCTTCGCATCATGGATGGTTTTGTAAACACCCCAATGGATGTAGGTCTCCTTGTTGAGTATGGAATTGTTGTGAATACGCTCGGCTACAACAATAAGGTTTCTGATCTGATTAACAAACTTTGCATTGGGGTTACTTGGAACAACGAAAACTACTACTTTGCTACTCTTTCTGAGGACCTGAACAACCACTGCCGAAAGCCATGGAACAAATCGAAGGCAAGCTTGAAACAAAAGTATTTCAACACACCTTGGGCAATGATTTCTGTCTTTGCAGCTGGTTTTCTCATCGTACTCACTATCATACAAACAGTGTGTTCTATTATCTCTGTCATTAATTAAGTATCAATCCTTAATTCGCAATTTTCTCCCTATCCTTTACGTAGTATTTGCTTGTTTTATTTGTTTGTCTGGTTTGTCCGTAGTGAGATTCATCTTTGTGTTGTAGACATTTGTAAACCCTGTTGCTAATAAGAGCTGTACGGTTTGTTTTACGGTTTGTGCTTATTTCTGCTTAATTTCTCATCTATAAAGTATTATGTCAAAAGAGTTGTTAGAATTTCACATGCAGGTAGCTAGGCCCATTGCAAAAGACACAACTATATATAGACAAACTTTCACATCAGTATGTATAATACGAAAGCTTTCTTGTGTACCGTACGTTCTGTTTCGAAGTTTTTCCTCTGTTTCCTGAAAATAATTAGCTTTATTTTCTACTCATATACAGCTGACCACATGAAACTTTTTAGGTACAACAATAACGTTAGTGAGTTGAACAATTAGTTGTTAGGAGCAAGAGAGTTGGTGAAGATCTAACCCGCATAATTGTTGAAAATATGCATGGTGACAAAAATGAGGTGTCTACTCTGATTAACAACCTTGGCAAAGGTGTTGTGTTGGACAAAGAAAGATTTTATTTTGCTACTCTTCCAAAGGAGCTAAACAACTACTAACAAAAGCCGTGGAACAAATGGAAGGCAAATCTGAAGCAAAAATATTTCCACACGACTTGGACAACTATTTCGGTCATTACCAATATTTTTATCATCGTACTCATACAAACGGTGTGTTCAATTATTTCCGATGTGCTCGCAAAGCATCAACACTAAGTTAGGTACTCCTTAGTTTCCCATTTAATTCCTCCCTCTTCTTCCCATTTAATTTCTATTATGCACTATATGTACTTGTTAATTTGCAGTAGCTTGTCTATGCGCGAGATTAATGACCAAATTGGTGAACACTATCTCAATTAGAGAAGTGCATGGTAAAATGTGGTCTCTTAATTCCTCAATGCAAATCTCTAACCATGTGAGCAAAGTTAGATTTGTTGAATATGGAGATACAGGTACAAATAATGAAATGCAATCTATGTGGTATAGGAAAAACACATCGTACAAGCGCCTAACCTAAAACACAGTATCTAAATACACTGGACTAGGCATTATTTTATCAGTCATGCATGGAATATGTCTTACACGTCTCTCATGTTCAACAAATTTTATCTTGGGCCTGAAAGGCACACCGCAGAATTGTTGTCTGATTTAAAGACGTCTGTATAAAGTTGAGATCCCCTTGCGGCGGAGGTTGGAGGCTGAGGAACAGGAAAGAGGCCTTCAAGCATCTGGACAACCTTAGTCATCGATGGCCTCAAAGACATATCTTCCTGTATGCACCATAGTGCAACCATAATGGCTGTCTCAACCCTCTCATCACCTTATCTATCCCTAACTTTGTATCGACAATATCCTTCAGTTTTCCTTCTCCCAACATCTTGAAGGCATAGGATGGAAAATTTGACTTTTCAGAAGTTTCTGTCCTGTCGTAGTTCTTTCTCCCACCAATGATCTCTAGCAATAGCATTCCATAGCTATACACATCGATCTTCTCTGATATGGGGGAGTTGTTGATCCACTCGGGTGCAAGGTAACCCCGGGTTCCTCTTAGTGTTGTGAAAACATGGCTCTGCCCCCTAGTCATTAGCTTTGCCAAACCAAAGTCAGCGACTTTGGCAAGGTAATTATCGTCTAGGAGAACATTCTCAGGTTTTATGTCACAGTGAACAATCTTTGAGTCGCAATCTTCGTGGAGATAAGCTAGTCCTTTAGCTGTACACAAAGCTATATTGAACCTTGTCTCCCATTCCAACAGGGATTCTTCGTTGTGTTTTCTGAAAATCCATTTATCAAGAGAACCATTTGCCATGTAATCGTAAGCAAGAAGTCGATGGCTTCCTTCTGCGCAGAAGCCCCTGAGCCGAACCAAGTGCAGATGATGGATACTGCCAATGATGGTAACTTCGGCTTGAAATTCCTTCTGTCCCTGACCAATGCCTTCCAACTTCTTCACAGCAAGTCGAGTCCCATCTGGGAGAATCCCTTGGTAAACCGAGCCAAAACCTCCTTGCCCCAGCTTCACCGAGAAGTTATTAGTTGCAGTTTGAAGATCTTTGTAACTGAAACGGATGGGCTTCCCAGTCAAGTTTTCAAAGAAATTTCCTTCTTCTGATGTCTCCGTAGGAGACTCTGGCGATTTTCTCTTCTTCCAGTAGTGTCGGCATCCCATATAAAGTAAGCCACAAATAATTGCAAGTACTGTCGAGATGGCTATGATCACAACATAAGGGAAGCGCTTCTTGCTGCTTCTGCTCCCCCCAGTACCACTGCTTCCATCCCTCAAGACTTTAACATAAGAAACAAAGCCAGAGTCCTTGTCAGAATTTTGGAAGCTACCTAATTTGTCAAACAGAAAACAATTTCTTGTACTGTTTTGGAAGAACAGAGCAACACATGAACAGTTGCCAAGGCAAGACGTTTGGCAACCGTTCAAATCAGTTTTTGAAGAAGGTGGAACATATCCCAACGCAAAATAATAGAGCCCGTCCCCAGCATTTACAAGCTCTGTAGAACCCCTTGAAGGATCACATGAGGAGACAACCCCCGCCTTGCAATTACGACGCGAGCTGAGACCTGAAGGGCACTGGCAGTTCTTGTTACTAAAACACTCGAAGTATGAAGCGCAAGGTTCTGGTGTGCTGCACGAATCGCTTGGTATTTTTGTTCCTGAAGGATCAATTGACCCTCTAAGATTGTAGAAAGAGATAAATCCATCACTTCCTAAAACTGCAATCCATGTGGCATTTGAATCAATATTGCTTGAGAAAATAAATTGCCATAGCAACGCTTTGGATCGATCAAAGAACTTCCATGAATTTTCACTGATAGTAGCTGAAGTGACAACACCACCGTCTTTGTTGATTGTTTTCCCGCTTTCCTTCGCCATAGACCAATACGGCTGTGGTGTTTGGTAACCTGCTGAAAGAACTAAGTCGCCAGACTTGATTTGAAGAATATAACTCAAGTTGTTGGAGCTAGGATTGCTTACCAGCTTCATTCCTTCTGAATATTCCTGGTTCCATAACAGGGTATCAGTTGGATGGCTAAAACTTTGCCAAACTACTCCACCGTCATCACCATGCAAAACCAAATTTCCAGAGTCCTGCAACTCTATTGCAGATACTCTTTTGCCACCAGTATCTGCAGACCAAACCACACCTCCGTCGCTTTGCAAGAACACACCACTTTTAGCATCAAACACAAATATATCAGAATTTAAAACCGGGGAACCCCTATTCCCGGTCCAGACTACCCTCGAACTGCCCATGTGAACAACAACAAGCAGAAATAATCGATCTTGTAGACTAGTTTCAAATCTTTTGAAGCCAAAACCGAATTCGGACTGGTTAGACAAGAGAAACAACCCGCCATTATCGATCCAATTTATCTGGGCCCCTTGAAACGGCGGATTAATTGTGCCAAAATTTCGAACAAGAGCCAGGCAAGTTTCGGAAGCGAGAAGAATAACAGACAAAAATATGAAGCCCGTGAAATGGTTCAAATGAATGAAGTTCCAAACTCCCATTGCTACTGCGAAATGTAGGTAGGATTTTAAAGTTCGGAGATTGAAGAGCAACACAACTAATCAAATCACAGAATCTAGAAGGTTCAGAAACCGAATCTATCACATTCCCACTTTAAACATAATCCCCATTTTTGTCCAAAAGGATTAAAGACATAAAAATAAAAAAAATTATTACAACGCCAAAGAAAACATATAAACTTTGCATGCAACGCTGAACTGAGAGAGAGAGAAGGGAGGAAGGGGGGTGTTTTACCTGTGAAAAGCAGCAGACAACTATGAGCCGGAGGAAGGATCAAGAGGCTTGACAATGCAATGGAAGAAATAGACCAACATTTCAAGTCTACAGAAAGAAAAATGACACATTTTCAACTTTACAAGTCTAAACTGGACCATTGGAGTCATACTTTTCTGCTGATATTGACATTTCAAGTCTACAGAAAGAAAAATGATACATTTTCAACTTTACAAGTTTCTGCTGATATTTATATATTATTATATGTCAATTTTGAAGAAGAAAAAAGATACATTCTCGTGTGTATAATAGCGTTTAATCTTCCACTTTACTTTCTCTATATTATAGTGAGTTTATACGTTCAAACCTCACGAATAAGAGTTAAGTTTAGAATTAATTGAAAAAGCATCAATGATTACGTATGGACAAGGAATGTATGATGTCAACTGTGTGTCAAATTTATATGGTTGGAATTTTGCACTTTGTCAAGATTGGAAGATGACTCATCTCTTGATTGAAAAATGGGGCAATTTATTGGTTTGGTTTGGGCTCTGGTGAGAGAGCGGTCCTTAAAGTTTTTGTCAAGTGCCATATCATTACGGTAGGCAGGATATGTTGAAGCAATTTCAATGGTGTGGGTCCCAAATCAAGGCGGAAGAGTGCATTTTTCTCACTATTCTCAAGTAGTGTTAATGCTCACCACTTAACTTATTAGCTATGAATAAGTTTAAATTTTGAGATTTGTATTTGTTCACTACATAGATTTCGAAATTCAAATTCATGTAACAATGATAAAGAGAGTAGTAAGTATTGCTATCACTTGAGGGAAAGATTTTTCAATGTGACTGGTACATCGGATGGTACATCACGTGTTACTATACAAATGGTGAGATATGTGTGTTAAAAAGTTAATAACTTGAAAAATAAAATTTCTCACAATTCCTATTAAAACACATGATGTACCACTTGTGTTTCTGTCCCAACTAAAAATTTCTCTACTGAGGATGTTGATCAAAATATTCCCTGTATGGCTGTATCCAAGTGGGAGCATGTATCCTTACTCCAAGTACAAGGGTCAAGATTCAACTTCCATAAGTTTTAAATACAATATGGCAGGTTTCCATTAGCTTTACTGCAAGTACACGTTACAATTAGTAATCTTGCTGCCTTTGAAAACTTTATGTCACGACTTGTCTTTAATTTTATTGTATTTTATTATCCACAAATGTAAAATGACATGTTACTCTTTAAAGGGGTAAATGTTGATGTGATCAATTATTGTTGAACTCGAAGATACAAATGAATGGCGTCTTTGATATAAAATTATTTTAACATGCCATAGGTCGGTTATTTCTGTTGCTGGTGCTGTTTCTTTCCTCATACTTACTCTTGTACAAACAGCGTGCTCTATTAACTATGTCCCTTAACTTTTAAGTATGAACGACGACTATTTCATTTAAACCGTGTACTTCAAAATAAATTATTTTGCAAGCTTCTATATATTCAGTTGCATCATTCTGATGTTCATGGATTTGTGTATTTTGCTCATGTACGTGTTAAGTCTAAAGACAAAGAAGAGTGGTTGTATAGTGGTATCAAATTATGACCACTCCTGATGTGTTCTCATATTCTTTCTTGTGGAATATAATCTTTGCTGGTAAAGCTTGTTGCACATTTTATCAACGGCATGCATATACAAAATCACCAATGCATGCAAATGAGGGTTGGCTCCGTTGGTAAGCTCCTTGTCTTGTGTGTCGCCCTATCAAGGTTTTAGTCTCGCTGTCAGTAGTCCTCGTTGTTGCGTGATGTGTAAATTTCTACGTAAATTCATACCGATGATAGTTAGGTGTCACACGTAAGTCTTTTCGGCTAGAAGTTGTGGGTATGCCCTACCGCTGATGGTGAGAATAACCAACCTCCCCCCCAAACTATTTTTTTACCCCCAAAAAAAATTATTGCATTCCCTATACAATTGTACCTAGATTATCACGAGTTTTAGAGCACATTTTATACACAAGATTAGCTTGACTTGGACTAATTATAGAGACCGACTTGGATTTGAATTTGACTTGGGTCGAGTAATGGCCTAAAATAAGTCAATAGAGATAAAGTATAATCTCAACTTATTGCGTAGTTAATTAGCCCATGTTTGGTTTTAAGTAAAAACTTTATGGGAAATTGGTTAAACTGATGAGAATCAATGCTCAATTGCGAGCTAATAAAAAATAATTATCTATCAAATATTGATGATATAACATTCATAACATTACAAAAACTTATTCTTCAGCAATTGAAGTTTTAAAAAGGGATACTTTGGATGCGGTTCCTAATCTTTAATATTCTTTGATTAAAACCTTAATAATATTCAAAGTTTGATCAAGGTCCCTTGACTTTGTACACCTCATTATACTACTATTAATATTTATAGTTTTATAGTTTTGACATTAATTGTTTGATATTTTATGAAATTTATAATCTTATAAATTTAAAATCCCTCATTATAATACTATTAGAAATGGTTACAATAAAAAAAATTCAAACATTTTGATTGAATAAATGGATAAAAACTATGTAAAAATAAGAAATAATAAATGGCAAAAGAATGTATCCATAGTGTTAAAAAAATTGGTACATTTTACAAAAAATTGGTACATTTCACATATAACAAAGTGGTACATTAATAAAGAAAAATGGGTACATTATAAATAAATTAGGGAACAGATAAAAGATTAAAAATTATGAGTACAAATGAATTTTTTAAAATATAGGCACTAAAAGAAATTAATACATGTGTAACATCCCACATCGCCCAGGGGTGTGATCCTTAAATGTATATTCCCATCTCTACCTAGCACGAGGCCTTTTGGGAGCTCACTGGCTTTGGGTTTCGTAGGAACTCCGAAGTTAAGCGAGTAGCGCGCGAGAGCACTCCCAGGATGGGTGACCCATCGGGAAGTTCTCGTGTGAGTTCCCAGAAACAAAATCGTGAGGGCGTGGTCGGGGCCCAAAGCGGACAATATCGTGTTACGGTGGTGGAGCGAGCCCGGGAAGTGGTGCCACCCGGGCCGGGATGTGACATTGGTATCAGAGCCTAACCCTGGCCGCGTGTGTGCCGACGATTGTAACATCCCACATCGCCCAGGGGTGTGATCCTTAAATGTATATTCTCATCCTTACCTAGCACGAGGCCTTTTGGGAGCTCACTGGCTTTGGGTTCCGTAGGAACTCCGAAGTTAAGCGAGTAGCGCGCGAGAGCACTCCCAGGATGGGTGATCCATCGGGAAGTTCTCGTGTGAGTTCCCAGAAACAAAACCGCGAGGGCGTGGTCGGGGCCCAAAACGGACAATATCGTGCTACGGTGGTGGAGCGGGTCTGGGAAGTGGTGCCACTCGGGTCGGGATGTGACAACATGGGTACAAAATAAAACTAAAAAGAAAATACTACAAATTTAAAAAAAAATGTTGCAAATTAAAAGTGGGTACAAACTAAAAATATAAATATATGATACAAAGTTTAGGCATAAAACATAAATATACCATATGTAATTTTTTTATCATTGATTAAATATACAATGTCACGTGACGGTATACACATGGTTACAACCACAAATAAAACTTTAAAAAAAAATATGGGCACAAAAAGAAACTAATATATGGGTACAAATTAAAAATGAAAAGAAAATTGGTACAAATTAAAAAATATTGTAAATTAAAAATAGGTACAAACTAAAAATAAAAATATATGATAAAAAATTTAGCCATAAATATAAATATACTAATTGTAACATTTTTAACACTAAAGGAATATATTTAAAAATAAAAATATTTTATTATTCAAATAATTAATGACGTTATTAATAACTTTGATAAAAAAATTCAAAATAAATAGGATTTTAATCAATAGAGTAAAAAGAAGGATGTAAACCTAATTTTCCCTTTTAAAAATGATCATTTCGGCTAATTTCCCTAACTTTAATTTACTCAACTTTGGGCTGAATAATGAGAGCTTGAAATCCTAATTGTTATGCAGAAACTATCGAGTTCAGCAGTGATGAACTCGTAGCAATCGTTCTAGTGGATGCCGCTTTCATCATTGAGCTCTTGTTGAAGTACAATTTCCCTGAACTGCGAGATGAAAATGACCACATATTTAACAAGCCCTTGATGTTACATGATGTGTGGCCAGACTTGCAATTGCTTGAAAATCAGCTGCCATTCTTCATACTCGAGGATCTTTATGATGCGGAAAAGATTACAGTCTCTTTTAACAGTAAGGACTGTGAGAGGCTTTCAATAATTAATCTCTCTTTTGAATTCTTCACGTCTCTTATGCATATACAGTGAATAGAGGACAATCTAAAGAGAATATCTAAAGTAGCACATTTTGTCCATTTTATAAGAAGTTTATGTCTACCGTTCGAATCACCGGAAAAGTTTATGTCTACAGCATGAGACAGCTACAACGGGCTGGAGTCAAGTTTAAGGTGGGATCAAGCAAAAACTTATTCGACATATGATTCAGTGATGGGATTTTGGAAATTCCCAAATTAACATTATGTGATGCAACATGGCTTACATTCAGAAATCTGATGGCCTTTGAACAATGCCAATGCATCGAGAATTACGTATATGATTATGTTTTCACCATATGATGTTTCGCAAACTCGCCGGAGGATGTGAAGTCGCTCGAACGGTATGGAATTTTGGAAAACAGACTGTGTAACAGCAGTGAAGGGTGCTCTCTGATTAACAACCTTGCAGATGGGGTTATCATGAACCCTAATTACTTCTGTTTTGCTACTCTTTGTGAAGACCTGAACAAGTACTGCACAAGGTCGTGGCACAAATGGAAGTCAAAATTGATAAAACATTTTTTCAACTCGCTATGGGCAACTAAAGAAATTATTGCAGTTGTTATTTTGATAACGCTCACTGCCATACAAGCAGTGAGCTCTGTTATCTCTGTTATCTCTGTTACTAAAGGTTGATTAAATTCTGGTCTCATAAGTTCAAAAGTTTTTATCAGTTGAAGCAAAATAAAGGTTGGTTTTACTTGTTCATCGGGATGAAGTAGTAGAGACAGTTAATACAACTTATTTGATTTTGATACAAATTTGTAAGGGTTTGTTTACATCTTATGCAAATCAAACAGTTGAATAAAATGGACTTATTAATTT